AGGGTCCGCGCCATCAACGCCATGGGGGTCAGCGAGCCCTCGGACATCTCCGAGAACGTCTTCGCCAAAGACTCCGACTGTAAGAGTCCGCCACGGTCCTCAGCAGGGATGGGGATCGTTAATATTTAATGATATCGATACCTTTATCGATGCTCCTTATCGATCCGAGTCTTTATCGATACCACTATCCATACTTTTCTGTTATTTGGTGGAAAGACGATGCGACAATATTTAGCAAATAAATAGTTGTATTTTAAATTAAATGTAATTTTTAATAAATGTTGGCATCAGTAGTTTAATTATATATTCTAAAATAATTAGAGCAATATACAACTGTATTACTCATGTTTCTTGCCAAAAACTCAATTTCCCTTTTCTTTACATTACACTTGAACGCATCATGATAACCTAATTGTCGTTTTACTGAGCCAATCTGAACACACGTCTGAAACTTGATTTACTTTTCAAGCTAACTAGCTTGTATGCTGCCGATTACAACACGGATTTCACAATTACTATTGTAATAATAAAAAAAACCACCAGACTCGATAGTGGTATCCATAAGCCCAAACGTTATTGATTTTCGGGTTTTGAATAAAGTGGAACCGGGTCCTTGATAGAACCGGGTTTCCATCCCCATCCCTAGTCCTCAGCTCCAGGGTTTAGGACTAGGGGTTCAGAGCCCTCACTGGTCTGTGGTTCCAGGTAACCCCACGCTGGAGTTCCAGACTCTGGACCTGGTCGTGGTGGAGACGGAGAAGCTCCACATCCCGGTTCCCTTCAGGGCCGTCCCTTCGCCCAAAATCACCTGGCACAAAGACGGCAAGGAGCTGAAGGCGGACGAGCGCGTTGGCTTCAGGTCAGAGCGGTCCTCCTTTAGCTTTAGAGCAGTGTTTTTCTACCCCTGGTCCTCGGTACACTAGTGTGCCGTTAGTGATGGTCAGGTGTAGAAAATCATCCTATTTCACCTCATTGGTCTAAAAAGATTTTTTGATAAGGAATTAATTATCTGCAAATAATATGCCATTTTTGAGTGTCTGTGCTGTTCTAGTGACTGGTGGAGTAATCATGTAATAATTCCTTATGACTAGATTTTGTATATAATTTTGTATATTGAAGTGGACATGTTAAGAGCAATTTGAAAGAAGAAATATAAAATATGATTACATTTTTGTGTTTATTTGATTCCTATTCAAGACACTTAAGATAAGATAAGAATAACTATAGTGTCATTATAGGCGGCTACAGATTTGTTTAACATTTTTGGTTGGTGGTGTGTCTCGTGATTTTTTCAATGAAAAAATGTACCTTGGCTCAAAAAAAGGTTGAAAAACACTGAGCTAGAGAGCTCTGAGCCAGAATCAGACCCGTATTTGCTTCAGGTCCAGTTTTAACGGTGGGTCTAATGGGATTGTTTCTCAAACAGGAAGGAGTACATCTCCTGTCACCTGGAGATCGACAGCAGCCTGCACCCTGATGCAGGAGTCTACAAAGTCACCCTGGAGAACAAAATGGGAGCCGCCAGTGCTACCATCAATGTCAAAGTCATCGGTAAGCCCCACCCCCCCACCTCGCTGTGCACAGCCGGTGCTTTCTAACACTGTAACTGTGTCTTGGCGCCGAAAATGGCTGCCTCGGTGTTTTGGTGCAATGCTGGGCACCAACACCAAAGCAAATTCCTTGTATGTGAAAACCTACTTGGCAATAAACCTAATTCTGATTCTGATTCTGATTCTGATTTCCTCAGGTCTTCCTGGTACCTGTAAGGAGATCCTGGCCTCTGACATCACAAAGAGCTCCTGTAAAGTGACCTGGGACCCTCCCGACTACGACGGTGGCAGCCCCATCCTCCACTACGTCCTGCAGGTCTGAGAGAGAGCAGCCCGTCTCTTCCTCTAGTTCAGACTGTGAGGGTTTTGCATAGACCAGACAAGGAGATGTAAAATTATTTCCAAAAATAATCTAAATTTATTACAATAAATGTCCAAAATAATTCCAAAATGACAAATTGGGCCCAAAAACTGAGGTCACCATAACAAAATGTAACTCAGGTGGTAACAAAAGAAACTCACGCACAAACTGACCTCCCAAATAAGACATGAGGGAAACTTAAATAGTGGCTGATCAGACCACTGCTAACACACATAAGGGGGTGACTAACCACACAAGACCCTAACAAATATTAGTGAAATTATCATTAAATCTTTAAATTAAATAAATATCAAATTTAAACTAACTTTCAAAAAGAAGAAACATTAAATAAATAGTCAAAATAAACTAGAAACCCAAATATCCCCTTCCCCTGGTAAACAAATGGACCGGCCCGCTGAGGGACCTCAGTCCAAAGGAAACTAATAACTCAAAAGGAAGAAATTAAATAGTTGTCTTTAACAAAAAATACAAAGAACTGACAAATAAAGTTAACTAAATGTGCGCACTTCAAATAGGTAACTCAAAAAGTCAGACTAATAAAAATAATTTCAAAGATATAGATAAATCTAAACTAAACACTAATTAACTCATTGACTGGCAGCCATTTTCAGAACAGAGTCGCTCGTTTTTTGAGCATTTTGACTGATTTTTCAAGAGCCACAGAATAGTTTGTGCTATGACTATGTAAACACCGAACACACCAAAAGAAAGAGTAGACTCTCTTCTTTCATCAGAAAAAAAAATTCTGTTTCTACCTTATTCCGTTCTTCTTTGACGTGCGTCTCACCGGCGCCATTTTTCCCATAGCGAACCATTGCGTTTGTTTTTATTTGCCTACAATCTATGCTAATCTCCCATCAAAAGTGGCACAGCTACCTAGAGGGTAAATTTGTTACTACATACTCTGTCTAGAAGCCGATATTTACGGAAAAACCTTCGCCGATCGTCCCCCAGACACTCGCATTGAAAAACATAAAAGACGTCTATAGACGTCTTTGGCAGCCAATGAGTTAATATATGTAACATTTAAGTAACATTAAAGAAAACAGAAAACCATTACCAAGTCTGTGTGACAGCAGGGGCAGCTGTCACACAGACTCTGAAAGAGCTGTTTGATAACGAGGTGTTTTTGTTCCGGCAGCGGCGGGAGGCCGGCAGGAGGACCTACGTCAACATGATGTCCGGGGAGAACAAGGTCAGCTGGACGGTCAAGGACCTCATCCCCAACGGAGAGTATTACTTCAGAGTGCAGGCGGTCAACAAGATCGGGGGAGGAGAGTTCATCGAGCTCCGCAATCCGGTCATCGCAGAGGACCAGAAACGTAAGAAAACCTTTAAGGAGGGCTGAGTACACCTGGAGTCCGAGAGCAAAGAGCTCTGCTGGAAACAGAGTGGTCATTCCTCATTTTGGAGATTGTCATATTCAATTCAATTCAATTTTATTTATATAGCGCCACATCACAACAACAGTTGTCTCACAGCGCTTTCCAAACAGAGCAGGTCAGACCTACTCTGAAGTTAACTACAGAAACCCAACAATTCCCACCATGAGCAAGCACTAGGCGACACAGGCAAGGAACAACTTCCTTTAACAGGCAGAAACCTTGAGCAGAACCATGGCTCAGGGTGGGCGGCCATCTGCCTCGGCCGGTTGGGGGTGAGGGGAAAGAAAGAGCAAGAGAGAGAGAGAGGGCGAGAGAAGGACAGAAGGAGCAGAGAGGGGCAGCCAAACCTATTTTCAAACCTAAATCTAAACTTTTAATTGTGATGCTTATATTGTTTATTATACAGGACTGTCTCAGAAAATTAGAATATTGTGATAAAGTTCTTTATTTTCTGTAATGCAATTAAAAAACATGAAATGTCATACATTCTGGATTCATTACAAATCAACTTAAATATCGCAAGCCTTTTATTGTTCTAATATTGCTGATTATGGCTTACAGCTTAAGAAACTCAAATGTCCTATCTATATAAAATAGAGAACTTTATCACAATATTCTAATTTTCTGAGACAGTCCTGTATGTTATTTTTTATGCCTTTGCCTGCCTAGGGACTACGGATGAAAACTAGCTTTGTAGCTACAATCCGGCATATTTACATTTGTTTTTGACTGATGTTCATTAATGTGCTTTGTCCCTATTCAAATAAATAAATAAATAAATAAACATTTGTTAGCTGAGGGATTTCTGTGCTGGTTTTCCCTGAACATCCCGTCTCTGGTTCCAGATGCTCCCGACCCCCCGGTGGACGTGGAGACCCACAACCCCACCTCCAGCACCATCACCCTGACCTGGAAGCCGCCCATGTACGACGGCGGCGCCAAGATCATGGGTTACGTCCTGGAGAAGCAGCAGAAGGGCGAGGACCAATGGGAGCGGTGCAACGACTTCCTGGTGCCCGTCCTGTCCTACACCGTCCGGCGCCTGACCGAGGGCAAGAACTACACCTTCAGGGTCAAAGCCGAGAACGCCGCCGGGATCAGCGAGCCGTCGAGGAACACGCCCTTCGTTAAGGCCTCGGACTCCATCGGTAAGGATCAGGGATGGGGATCGTTAATATTTAATGATATCGATGCCTTTATCGATACTCCTTATCGATCCGAGTCTTTATCGATACCACCATCCATACTTTTCTGTTATTTGGTGGAAAGACGATGCGACAATGTTTAGCGAATAAATAATTATATTTTAAATTAAATGTAATTTTTAATAAATGTTGGCATCAGTAGTTTAATTATATATTCTAAAATAATCGGAGCAATATACAACTGTATTACTCATGTTTCTTGCCAAAAACTCAATTTCCCTTTTCTTTACATTACACTTGAACGCATCATGATAACCTAATTGTCGTTTTACTGAGCCAATCTGAACACACGTCTGAAACTTGATTTACTTTTCAAGCTAACTAGCTTGTATGCTGCCGATTACAACACGGATTTCACAATTACTATTGTAATAATAAAAAAACCACCAGACTCGATAGTGGTATCGATAAGCCCAAACGGTATTGATTTTCGGGTTTTGAAAAAAGTGGAACTGGGTCCTTGATAGAACCGGGTTTCAATCCGCATCCCTAGTAAGGACTTTGGATGAGAGCTTAGACTCAGATCAAACGTTGCTCTGCTCACAATAAAGTTTCCACTCGTTTTTTTTTCTCGGTCAGACCCTCCGAAGGTGTTCCTGAGCGGGAGTCTGCAGTCCGGCCTCAACGTCAGACGGGGCGGTGAGATCTGTCTGGACGCCAACATCTCCGGTTCCCCGTACCCTCAGATCACCTGGTACTGGAACAACCAGGTGATCCGGCCAGAGGCGCTGCGCAAGAGGCCCGAAAAACCCCTGAAGAAGAAAGCAGAGAAGAAGGAGGGGGAGAAGACGGAGGAGAAGAAGGAGGGAGAGGAGAAGAAGGAGGGAGAGGCAGAGAAGAAGGAGGGAGAGGCAGAGAAGAAAGACAAGAAGGAGGAGGAGAAGAAGGAGGAGAAGAAGGAGGGAGAGGAGAAGAAAGAAGGAGAAGAGAAGAAGGAAGAGGACAAAAAGACCGAAGAGGCAGCCACAGAGCCAGACATGGAGGAACCCGACTATCCGACCATCAACGAGCGCCTGGCCATCGATAACCTCCACCGGGGCGTCTCCTCCATCGTGGTGCGGGACTCGGTGCGGCCGGACCACGGCGTGTACATGGTGAAGGTGGAGAACGACCACGGCATCGCCTCCGCCACCTGTGAGGTCAACGTGCTCGGTAAGGGAGGTCTTCAATCAATCAATCAATCAATTATTTCATTTAATTGCTCATGTTTGGAACACAAACAATAAATATAACAGAACAAAGTAAGGCATATACATTAAAACTGGGTAAGAGCTCCGGCTGTTCACGCTCCAGTCCTCAGGGAGGTCTTCAATCAATCAATCAATCAATCAATCAATCAATCAATCAATCAATCAATCAATCAATCAATCAATCAATCAATCAATCAATGATTTTATTTAATTGCTCATGGCCATATACATGGTTTGGAACACAAACACTAAATATAACAGAACAAAGTAACGCATATACATTAAAACTGGGTAAGAGCTCCGGCTGTTCACGCTCCAGTCCTCAGGGAGGTCTTCAATCAATCAATCAATCAATCAATCAATCAATCAATTACTTCATTTAATTGCTCATGACCATATACATGGTTTGAAACACAAACAATAAATATAACAGAACAAAGTAACGCATATACATTCAAACTGGGTAAGAGCTCCGGCTGTTCACGCTCCAGTCCTCAGTGAGGTCTTCAATCAATCAATCAATCAATCAATCAATCAATCAATCAATTATTTTATTCAATTGCTCATGACCATATACATGGTTTGGAGCACAAACAATAAATATAACAGAACAAAGTAACGCATATACATTAAAACTGGGTAAGAGCTCCGGCTGTTCACCCTCCAGTCCTCAGGGAGGTCTTCAATCAATCAATCAATCAATCAATCAATCAATCAATTATTTCATTTAATTGCTCATGACCATATACATGGTTTGGAGCACAAACAATAAATATAACAAAACAAAGTCACGCATATACAGTGGGGGAAATAAGTATTTGAGCCCTTGCTGATTTTGCAGGTTTGCCCACTTACAAAGAATGCAACGATCTATAACTTTAATCATATGTACATTCTAACAGTGAAAGACAGAATCCCAAAGAAAATTCCAGAAAATCACATCATATGAATTTATAAAAATTGATAACCATCTGATGAGGAAAAATACACATTCTTTGTAAGTGGGCAAACCTGCAAAATAAGCAAAGGGGTCATATACTTATTTCCCCCACTGTACATTCAAACTATAACATCATCGATATAATGGCAGGACCCAATTACAAAAAGGCACCCAACTTAGAAATGATTTTCTTTTTTCCAGACTGAAATAATGAAACCATTTTAAACATGGTTGGGCTCTTCACATAATACTGTGGAAAATACTTCTCTCTGTTATGGCATATTTCTACATTTTTACACTCAAACAAAACATGATACTCATCTCCAACACAGTTATCTGGACAGAGTTGACATAATCTTAACCTTCTCTCTAAACCTTTATACTGAGCAGTGACTTTAGGGATTCTAGAGTTGTTTGTTCTAAGGTTACAGATGGCCTGCCTATACCTATATTTTTACATAACAAGTATTTTTCTAATTGATATTATTGCTTAATTCCTGCATAAATATCACGTGGGTCCTATCTACCCACAGATACTCCTGGGCCCCCCATCAACTTCAGATTCGAGGAGGTGAGGAAGAACTCTGTCATCTGCAAGTGGGATCCTCCCCTGGACGACGGCGGCAGTGAGGTCCTCAACTACACCCTGGAGAAGAAGGACAACTCCAAGCTGGAGTTCGGCTGGAGCTGCGTCACTTCCACGCTCAGAGGCTGCCGCTACCTGGTGCCCAAACTCATCGAGAAGAAGGAGTACATCTTCAGAGTGGTGGCAGAGAACAAGTTCGGCGCCGGTCCTCCCTGCGTCTCCAAACCGCTCGTTGCTAAGAATCCTTTCGGTAGGTTCTCGCCGTCTTGTTTGGAAGTGTGTTTTCCATGTCGTGGATGTGGTGAATTATTCTAAGTCTTTAAAAAATACTAAGTTCTTGAAGAAGCAGTTGAAAAATCTCAAAGGGTGGTCAAAAAGGTCCAGAGTGGTTTATTGCAGCAAACACAAGTCAACCACATGAGCTGTTAGCCGGGCTAACACCTGCTCTCTTGGGAAAAGTGGTCTGCTCATATAGCCTTTGTAATGGTTGGACCCCTGAACCATGGTTTCTTCCTTTTTATATCCCAGATACATATTAATCTATTTCCCTTCTTAGATATATGTTGATTTCCTTCTTTTAGATATATGGATATATTAATTCACTCAATATATTAATGCACTCACTACTAATCATTTGTGATAATATATTCATTACAGGATATTAATCCACTACAGAAGTAGTTGAAAAATCTCAAAGGGTGGTCAAAAAGAAGCAGAAGCAGCTGGGTCTCGGTCCAGAGTGGTTTATTGCAGCAAATACAAGTCAACCACATTAGCTGTTAGCCGGGCTAACACCTACTCTCTTGGGGAAAAGTGGTCTGCTTATATACTTTCCCTGAATCTTGGGGTTCCTCCCTGAGCCCCTCCTTTTATGACGTATTTTCAGGTACTTTTTCCACCGTTATAACCAATATTTACCTTTCTACCGGTGGATAATCCCCTAGAGTTCCCTTTTTTAAAATGGGCGTCTCAGCCCCATATGTCTCATATCTCTCTCTCCTGACAACTGCTCATAGTTTTCTAGGTGATACATCTTGGTTAGCCTGGTTCCCATATGTTATATGTTTACTTATCCCATGGATACATGTGAGTTTGCATCAACCCTCATATGGTACAAGTTTACTTAGCCCTTTATTATCTTCTGTTTGCAGTTCTCATGCACTCATAAAGCATTTATTATGGTTTGACCTCGGAACCATGGTTTCTTCCTCTTTCATACACCAGATACATGTTAATCTACTTCTCTTTTAGATATATGTTAAAGCACACTACTAATCATTTGTGATGATATATTCATTGCGAGATATTAATCCACTACATCCACCAAAGAACCCGTCCAAACCTGTCCCACGCTTGTCAAAGCATTTATTATGGTTTGACCTCTGAACCATGGTTTCTTCCTCTTTCATACATCAGATACATGTTAATCCACTTCTCTTTTAGATATATGTTAAAGCACACTACTAATCATTTGTGATGATATATTCATTGCGAGATATTAATCCACTACATCCACCAAAGAAAGAACCCGTCCAAACCTGTCCCACGCCCGTGTTCCCCCCCAGAACCCCCCGAGGCCCCGGAGAAGCCCCAGATCGATGACGTCACGGCCAACAGCATGCTGGTTATCTGGAACGAGCCCAACGACAACGGCAGCCCCATCCTGGGATACTGGGTGGAGCGGCGCGAGATCAACAGCTCCCACTGGGCGCGCGTCAACAGGTCAGGAGGCTGGTCCTTCCGCCCCTATGAAGTTTATTTTATTTATTTATTTAATCAGGACAGTGCACATTAATGAACAATCTCATACAGATTGTAAATGAGCCAGATTCTAGCATAGTTGGGGCGGCACGGTGGTGTGGTGGTTAGCACTGTCGCCTCCCAGCAAGAGGGTTCTGGATTTGAATCACGGGGGAACCAGGACCAGAGGGTTCTGGGTTGGAGTCCCGGGGGAACCAGGACCTTTCTGGGTGGAGTCTGCATGTTCTCCTGTGTCTGTGGGTTCTCTCCGGGTTCTCCGGCTTCCTCCCACAGTCCAAAAACCTGCATGTTAGGTTGATTGGTGATTGGGGAAATTGCCCTTAGGAGTGAATGTGAGTGTGTGTGGTTGTTGGTCCTTGTGTGTCTCTGTGTATCCCTGTGATGGACTGGGGACTGTCCAGGGGGACCCCGCCTCTCCCCATTGACCACTGGGATAGGCTCCAGTTCCCCCCGCGACCCCGTCAGGGAATAAGCGGTATTGATAATGGATGGATGGATGGATTATAGCATAGTTGCTAGTTTACATCTGTAGTCCTGAGGCAGGAAGATCAAACAACACAAAATCACAAAATACAAAATCAGTCCAAACACACGTTCCATGCACAACGCTCACCACCTTCTGTCACCCCCAGGAACCTCGTCTCCGACACCGAGCACACCGTGCAGGGGCTGCTGGAGGGGCTGACCTACATCTTCAGGGTGGCGGCCGAAAACCAGGCCGGTCCCGGAAAGTTCAGTCCTCCCTCTGAACCCCAGACCGCCCACGCTCCCATCTGTAGGTGTCCAGAGATGTCAGTTTAACTCATTGGCTGCCAGCCATTTTCAGAACAGAGTCCCATACTGCCAGAGTTTTTTGAGCATTTTGACTGATTTTTCAAGAGTCACAGAATAGTTTGTGCTATGACTATGTAAACACCGAACACACCAAAAGAAAGAGTAGACTCTCTTCTTTCATCAAGAAAAAAAATGTGTTTCTACCTTATTCCGTTCTTCCTGGACTTGCGTCTCACCGGCGACATGTTCTCTCATAGAACCGTTCCCTTTTTCTTATTTGCCTACAGTCTATGCTCATCTCCCATCAAAAGTGGCACTGCCCCCTAGAGGGTCAATTTGTTACTACATACTCTGTCTAGAAGCCGATATTTACGAACAAGCTTTAGCAGATCGTCCCCCAGACACTCTCGCTGAAAAACATAAAAGACGTCTATAGACATCTTTGGCAGCCAATGAGTTGAAGATGTTTCCACAAACAGGAGAAGGTCCTCATGTGTGTGTGTCTCTGACCCCGCAGTGCCTCCTGGACCCCCGGTCGCCCGGGTGGTGGCAACCACGGACCACTCCATCGATGTGGAGTGGGATCCACCCACGGACAACGGAGGAGGGGAGGTTATGGGATACCATGTGGATAAGGTCCGAACAGATGAACCCACGAAATCAAACCCAATCTTTGAACCGGCCTGATTTCCAGACTAATGCTTTTGTTCGTTCCGTGGTTCTTCAGGCTATGGCTGGAACCAAGGACTGGTCCAGATCTACCGAACGGCCATGGAAGACCCGCGCCTTCACCGTCTTTGGAGTCCGCGAGGGAGCGAAGTACCTGGTCAGAGTGATCGCCTGCAACGCGGCAGGAGAAGGAACGCCTGGGTTCACAGAGTCGGTGTTCGTCAGGAATCCTGCAGGTGGGCCCACAGGATTACCAGTTTACTTGTTTCCACAGAGTTTTATATTGTGCTCCTGAGGTAATGTTGCGTAACTGAATATAAATGAGTTATTATTTTTCTTGTTTTTGTAGTTTGTTAGTTATTATAATTATTCGATATTATTTATTGATTTGATTTAATTTTTCAATGGTGCAATTAGTTGCTCAAACATGTTTACAGTATAAACAAGGATTTATTTATTTTTCATTTCAGGCATTGATGCACTTAAAATCTTTTCTGTTGCACACTTAAAACACGATTTAATAAAGTTATTCCTTGTAAGTTTGACCATATGTCTGTCTTTTTTTCTTTTCTTTAATGTTAATAAGGATAAAATGTTATGTAGAGATGTATAGTCATGGTGGGGAGTGGGGGGAGCGAATAGTTTTCTTCTTGCTAGGGGGGGCGTAACAGAAAATAATTGAGGAGCACTGCCTTAAATCTTCCCGCTCCCGTTTCCCTCCTGTCCCCACAGAGGTTCCAGTGATCGAGCTGGACCTTTCTGTGAAGAACGGCGTCATCATCAGAGCTGGAGAACACCTCCGCGTCCCTGCCACCGTCACAGGGAAGCCCTACCCGTCCATCACCTGGACCAAGGACGACAGCAAACCCGACAAGGACCGCGTGGAGATCCTCAGCGAGGGCAACGACAGCGTCGTGTCCATCAAGAACGTCCAGAGGAAGGACTGCGGCAAATACGTGATCTCTGCCTGCAACCCCAGCGGCACCAAGTCCGCAGGGACCCGCGTGGAAGTGATGGGTCCGGCATATTTACATTTGTTTTTCACTGATGTTCATTAATGTGCTTTGTCCCTATTCAAATAAATAAATAAATATATGAATGGGTGAGAGGTCAGCCCGCTCCGGGTCAGTAACTAACGGCTGTGCTCTACCCTCAGACGTCCCCGGACCAATCACAGACCTGAAGCCCGTCGTTGTGACGCGCAAAATGATTTTCCTGAACTGGGACGACCCGGAGGACGACGGAGGCAGTGACCTGACCGGCTTCATCGTCGAGCGGAGGGACGCCAAGATGCACACGTGGAGGCAGCCCATCGAAACCGCTTCCTCCAAGTGTGAGTGCGTGGGCATCATGGAGGGACAGGAGTACTTCTTCAGAGTCATCGCCAAGAACAAGTACGGCATGGGCCCGCCTGTGGAGCTGGGGCCCATCAAAGCTGTGGACCCACAGGGTGAGTGCAGCTGCTTATTGTCATAGTGATGATAGATGTAATATTGTGTCTACTCTGTAAGTCGCTTTGGAGAAAAGCATCTGCCAAATGCAGACACATAAACACATAAACCTGCTGGAGCAGTGTTTCCCAAACCGTGTCCTCAAAGCAACTCCTGTGCATGTTCTCCAAGTTTCCCTGATCCACCACACCTGATTCTAATAAATGGGACTTTAGCAGCTTTCTGCATAGTTGAAAAATCGTTCCATTTATTAGAATCAGGTGTGATGGAGCAGGGGAACTTGGAAAACATGCAGGGCAGGGTGCCTTGAGGACCAGGATTGGGAAACACTGTGCTGGAAGTAGGGTTGTCAAAAGTATGGATACTTAAAAAAGTATCGATTCTAAAATGTTGTATCGATACCACCGCCCCTTCTCTCTGATTTATTTATGTATTTATTTACGTTGTTTATGATAATTAACAAAACGTTAGCCTTGAATTGCTAGCTGCGGCTAATGGCTAATAATAACACGCTAACATTTATCAAATATGTCTGGATGCAAACTCCGCCCCCATCCAAGTGGGCCGTTTCGATTAGGTCACCAATAGGAATATTCAGGCCAAGAAAATCGTAATTGCTTCATGGCAATATAGACATTAATTTAAAAATACTGAAATTAATCTTTCAAACAATTAAACTGTATACATATTATTATTTTAAAATAGTGGATGTTACATTGGTTTGTACAATAAGTCCAAACAAGTTTAACCAAAAAATATTTATTTCTCACATTTATGAAGGCTGGAGGGTTAGGGTTAGGGTCAGGGTTAGGGTTAGGGTTAGGGTTAAGGTTAGGGTTAGGGTTAGGGTTAGGGTTAGGGTCATTAATGTGGACCACCACTCACGATAACATCAGTAACAGGTCAGTTTCAAATGAAAGACACTAACCTGTCAAAATTCAGTTAAATTTTGGGGTATTTGTTTTTATCCTTGTGGTATCCAAAATGATATAGAGTATCGAGTATTTTCCTTAGTATCGGTATCGAGTTGAACATTTTAGTATCGTGACAACCCTAGCTGGAAGACTTTGTCCGTCCATGAGGCTGACGCCTGGTGTCTCTGCAGGCCCGCCCTCGTACCCCGAAAAGTTCCACTACACGGAGCGCACCAAGAACTCCATCACACTGGCCTGGAAGCCCCCCCGCAACGACGGCGGCAGCCCCGTCATCGGCTACTTTGTGGAGAAGAAGAGGCAGGACCTGCAGGCCTTCGAGCTCTGCAACGCGGAGATCTGCCCCAACATGAGCATGACCGTGGAGGGTCTGGACGAGGCCTGGATGTACGAGTTCAGGATCAAGTGCGCCAACCTCATTGGAGAGAGCGAGCCGTCCATCCCCATGACCGTTGTCATCCAGGACGATGAAGGTGAGGCTCCAGTTGTGTTTCATTAACCCCAGCAGTGAACAGAGGAAGGTTCAGACTCCACACCTCCAGACCTGGGATTAAACGGCACCCGGCTGGAGTTTGGGAATCGGTTTTGTATCTGAATCTATTTTCGGAGCAGATCTTTGTCACGCCTGGGGGTTTTGGTCCTGTTTTACTATGTCTTGGTCTCCTCATTTTCTGTTTAATACTTATAGTATTGTAATTATTTTTATACTTATAGTGTCTCCTCTTGTCTTTGAGCGTTTTGCTTGTCAGATCATTTCTAGCATTACATAGTCATAGTCTTGTTTTGATTAGTTATTCTCCAAGTGAGAAGTTTCATAGCCTTTTGGCTTTTCCTCCAAAGTGGAGGGATTTTCACTGTACTGTTTTACAGCGTTATGCTTTGTTCTACATTTTTGGGAGTGATTATTATTTTTCCTTAACATTTCATAGTCTGTTTCTCACTGTTAAAAATTTTCCAAATCACCCATGGCACTCATGATAAACCATAGTTTTCTGGATGTGAATCAGACTTTGTGCTGACTCTGCTTTTCCCCCTCTCAGTGGGTCCTGAGGTGCACATGCTGAAGCAGTTTAAGGGCGACTGCATCACGGTGAGGAAGGGGGAGCCGGTGGAGATCCCCGCAGACATCATCGGGCTCCCCATCCCGAAGATCGAGTGGTCCAAGGACGACGTGGTGATGGAGGCGCCCAGCGACGCCCTGCTGCTGGAGACCCAGGTGACCGGCAGGATGAACGCCAGGACCAAGCTGTCCATCCCGGCGGTCAACAGGAGGGACCGCGGCAGCTACACCGTGTCGGCCTCCAACAACATGGGCTCAGCCAAACACACCATCTTTGTGATGGTGCTGGGTGAGTTTACACTACACTCAGCTCTTTTAAAACCCTTTCAAAGACCCACTTTTTCTCTCAGGCCTTTGAGTTGTCTTAATTTCCCTCTCTTACTTGGTTTTGTTTCTTATTTTTTGCTCTTACTGTTTTTAATCTTTGAGTTTGTCCTGTGTTGTGGTGATAATTGTGTTTTATGATCTGCTCAAATGGCCTGTACAGCGCTTTGATTTTAGCTTTGGCTGACTGAAAGCGCTTTATAGATAAAGTTGAGTTGAGTTGAGTTGAGTAGAAAGGCTCCCAGACCAAATACGCCTCAGCACGCAGAGTCTGACCCAAACTCTCCTTCTGCCAGACCGACCAACCCCCCCCAGGAATCTGACCGTGTCCAACATCAGGGCGGAGTCCTGCTACCTGAACTGGGAGGCACCCATCGACGACGGCGGCAGCGAGCTGACCAACTACATAGTGGAGAGGAAGGAGGTGGTAACAGAAGAGCCCGAGCTGGAGGAGGGCCAGGAGGCCCCCCCTGAGCCTCAGTGGGAGGAGGTCACCAGCAGCATCATAGAGAGGAAATACGGCGTACGTCCCTTTAACGGCCACCACACAGCGGGGCCCAGAGGGCCCAAAAGCACGCGGAGTTATGATTTCACTGGTAACCGATTCCCTGTCCTTCACAGATGTGGAACCTGGACACCAACAAGACCTACCTGTTCCAGGTCAGAGCCGAGAACCGCTACGGCAAATCTGACCCCTGCACAACCGAGGACGTCAAGATCACAGACCCCTTCAGCCTGCCCGGCCCCCCGGAGAAACCGGCCATCTCAGAGTACTCAAAGACCTCCATGACCCTGACCTGGGAGCCCCCCAGGGACACCGGAGGCTCCATGATCATCGGCTACTGGCTGGAGAAGAGGGAGAGGGGTAGCGACTACTGGGCCAAAGTCAACAAGACCCCGGTCACCAAGAGGGGCGTGAAGGGCTGGGAGTACCAGGTGAGCTGGGGGACGGGTTCGGCCTCCAGAGGCCTCCGGTTCTCAGGCTTTGAAGGAAAGGCCAGATCCCTCGGAGGAGAAGTATCTAACCCACATATGTCAAAGTCAAGGCCCGCGGGCCGGATCTGATTATTATTATTTATATTTATTTTGCATGGACTCAGGGAAAATTGCAGATCAGAGCCATGAGAAAGAATACAACTGATTTTATATATTTTTTTTTATTTAAAGCAGTGATCGGTAGATCATAGAGCAGCACAATAATACATTTTCAGTTTATAATGCATGAACTTTTATTTATGCATTTATCCTGATATGAAGAAACACATTTTGTTTTTAAAAACAATTAAATTTTTTGCTGTTTGGCTGTTGAAAATGTTTTCCCTTGAAGTTACCGACAGAGCCATAGCAAAATATTGCCATATTCATTTAATCATTGAGAATATGTGTGAATACACTGTGTTAGGTCTTGGTTCAATAGTCTATGTGCAATCTTTTTGATATGTTTTAATAAACTTTGAACCAGTCCGGCCCTCGGCTTGTAGCAAATTTGTTTTTTTGGCCCTCGGTGTGTTTGACTTTGACATCAGAATCAGAATCAGAATTAGGTTTATTGCCAAGTAGGTTTTCACATACAAGGAATTTGCTTTGGTGTTGGTGCCCAGCATTGCACCAAAACACCGAGGCAGCCATTTTCAATCTCATTTTCGATCTAACCCCTCTCCTCCGGTGGCTCCCAGGTGACTCGTCTGTTCGAAGGAACCGAGTACGAGTTCAGGGTGGCCGCCTCCAACTCCGCCGGAACCGGACCGTTCAGCTCCCCGTCGGACTCGGCCTTCGCCGTGGACCCCATCAGTAAGTAGACCCTGACCACGGCCTCTGTCTGTGGGAGGAGGAGCTCCCTCTTCCTAACGCGTGTCTCCTCTTATCCTTATCCTCCTTATTCTTATCCTCCTCTCTCTGCAGCTCCTCCCGGCATGCCCGCCGCTCCTGAGATCGCCGACAAGACGAAGCACAGCGTGACTCTGTCCTGGAAGCCTCCGGAGAGCGACGGGGGCAGCCCCATCAAGGGCTACATCATCCAGGTCCAGGACGAGGGCTCGTCGGACTGGGCCCCGGTCAACGATGTCGACAGCCTGCACCCCACCACCGAGTTCACGGTGCCCAGCCTGCGGGAGCTGAAGCGCTACCACTTCAGGGTCATCGCCGTCAACGACATCGGCGAGTCGGACCCCAGCCCGCGCACCAGCGAGGTCCTGGTGGAGGACGTCCAGCGTACGTCCGCCTTCTTATCCC